CTCTTCCTTTCTCCCTGTCTCCCTCCTCCCTCTTACTTACGAAGACATGATAACTTTTTTTTTTGACAAAGCAGTAAGTAAACATTTTAGGAGACTCCACAGAGTCCCTGCTTTCTCTTAATTAAATTATAGTACATTGTAGAAAAGCTGTTTCCATTATTGTCATAACCTTAAAAAACAAATCTTCCTATGTGTTGAATGTCAGAGTGCTATTTTTCCAAGAAAAATACCCCACTAAGCTAAATAATAGCTATATCTACATGTTAACCTCATTTTTATCTGGCTTTAAGTTCAATCAAAAGTAAATAGTATTTTTATTTAAATTGTGACATAATAAGTGTAATGCTTTAAATAAATAATGTATATTCATTCTTCCCTATTTTGATGCCTGGAATAATCTACAAGCTGCAGCTGAGCCCACTAGTAGGTGTTGTTTCTCTAATACAAGCACCTGAACTGAAAAATTAGTGTCTAAAAATATCCAAACCCATTCCTATTTTTAGAATTATTTATTCACCTTTTTGTGTACATGTATACTCCTGTATGAGTTTATGTGCATCACGCGTGGAGGCCGGAAGAAGGCTTGGAATGGGATTATTGTGAGCCCTCAGACTTCAGGAAAAAAGTGCCAGCTACACTGAGTAACCGATGTGGCAAGAAACACATTCTAGGCTGTTCTGCATATTAATTTTGCTTATCTAAATATGAACTTAAATATTGTCTGTGTTGCCCAATGGGATAATTTTCTCTTCTGGGGCAAAGAGTTAATTCAAGCTGCTGTTAGCATATTTGCCCCACATGTATGTCTTCATCTGTTTTCTTAACTATCTTCATTTTTGCAGCATCTTTGTCTAGGTATCCATCTAACTCTGAACTTTATGAGCTTATGAGGACTCACAAGAATACAAGGCTTCCTCGCTCGTCTTCCTGCCCAAACATTGTCTTTTCTTTCACTTCTTACCTTGAGATGTAGGTTTTGTGAGCCATGAGACAGAAGCTAGAATCAGTCAGCAATGGTCCTGTGTGCCATCACACATAGGCGCATGTGTCCCTCTGGCACTGCTAATCCATCTGCTCTATGCTGCTTCATCGTCCTAGGAGGGGAATCTTGTTGACTATATCCAGTCGCAAGCAATGGTATCAAATGTGACTGCATTGTACAGAGAAATAGTACTCCTTTGAATTGGCAGAAATTTGTCTTTTCCTCTCTTATTATTTCCAGTTTCTAACCCTCCCTTATCCACTAAGCTTCCACATCTGGACTATTTCTACACTCTCCTTTGGCATAATACCACTGATTGCTAGTCATATCAACATTGTTCCACTACCTTTCCATAATATGTACTCCATCTTAGAAAACGCCCTCTTTCCTAGCATAACCCCCTTGTCTTGAGTTGGTTTATCTCTGGGTCACACCCTATTCTCCTTCAGAAGAATGTTCCCAGGGTGTTATGTTAATGTTTATAAAAGGAGCTATTTATTACTACTCTACTACAGAGTAACCAACTGACATTTATGTTATTATTACCTAATGGAGCGCTGCCAATCCTGGGAAATTTCAGATAAAGCTGTAAAAAGACAATGCTTTTGGAGAGGTGGCTCAGTGGGATGCCTACCACCAGTATGACAACCTGAGCTCATCTTCAGGACCCATGTGGTGGAAGGAGAGAGCCAATTCCAGCTAATTGACCTCTGATTGCCACTCACTAACAGTGGCATCCAGTCACATGTGTGTGCAAACACACCCTAAGTAGGAAAACAATTAAAAATGCAAAACATGAACACAGTGGCAGGAGCAACAGACGTAGCACAGGACATTATACCGACATTTAATGACCTGGTTGACACACAAACAAGTGAGCAGCATGCTTCATAATTTTCCGGTCTCTTTTCCTGTCTTATTTGGGTTAGATTACAAATCTGAAAATCCACACAAATTAGAGACACAAGAGTCAACTAATGGTAACATGCTTCTTCAGTGAAGGTGGCTTCTTAGAAACAAAACTGAAGCAGGCAGGTAGTGAAGGTCAATTTCGATGAACTGCACCAGATGGGCAACAAGGAGAGTCACAGTGAGCCCTGTAGCGTCTTCCCTGGGCATCAGGCAGTGACATGTGTCTGATGTAGGTTGCCCTTGCACACAGTAAGTCCTGAGTTGTGTTGCAGTTATGACAGAAAAAGCCATCATGGATTGTTTCTATTCTACATACTCATGAAGAAGAGAAAGACATCCAGGCTACTTCTTAGAAAGAGCAAGAAAGATGGTTTCTCTTGAAGTGGTGAAGACACAGCTTGGTAAGAAACACACACACACACACACACACACACACACACACAAACACATCCTACGCACACTTTCATTCAATCTGTAGTTTGCTTTCTTTTACTCTTTACTGCACAGGAATATATGAAAACACACAGCATGGAGATGTGCAGCCTGATCAAGTGATAATCTTTTATAATGTGCTTCTATTTAAAGCAACAAACAGATGGAGGGTTTATGAGTAAAGCTGGTGAAGGTAAAAAGCAAATGATTGCAATAGTACTTTTAATAGGATTTCCCACAATCTAAAACATTACTCCCCTAGGAGTAAATTGTTCTTTAAAATTATGTTACTTAGGAAAAAAGATAGTCTCCCTAACATTGCTGAAGCAACAGAGAGCTCCAGAATTCCATGCATCTCCCAGTTCTCTGGACTGTGTCCTGGGAGGGGGAATAGGGTTGTCTGGACCGCTCCCCAAAGAACAGGCTGTGTGCAGCCCAGTGAGAGGAAGACAAGAAGTGTGAAGGGGAGGATGAGACAGTCTGGGCTTCAGATGAATTTATTACCCTATAATTTCCTACTTTGTAAACAAGGTTTGGGAAATTCCTACAGATTTTAGATAAACAGGCTTAGGGCTTCCTCCCCTACCAATTCAGACCAGAGTCCAGTTCTAGAAGAGCAGATATTGCTCAACAGACGATGGAATAGTAAACAACCCAACAATAATTCATTATCATCATTCCTACTTAAGAGAAACAAAACTCACTATAATTCCATCAGTAAGATGAATATACTGCCATGATGGCCTTTACGCAAGTTATAATTAAAGCTAATCTTAATTGAAGTTATTACACCATTCTGGAAGAAAACAAATAACCCAAAGAGAGGGAAATAGCGTGGTCAATAACTCACTCTAATTTTTTTTTTTTTTTTGTCTCCAAAGCTCACATTGAAGAAGACATTCCTGCGCATGATACAAATGGTTCTGACATTAAGAAAAGTAAACAAGTAAGAAAAATAAAGATGGAAAAATTCTGTGGTCAGTTCACAAGTGCTTTTTTATTGTTTGAGGAGGGTTAAAGTCCTTTATGAAGACAGGGAAATATGTGCCATTAGATTGGATGTGACATTAGACTAGTCTCACTGCCCTTGCACAGAGCCTCGCTTCCCTTAGTATGCCATAGACCAAAGGTTCTGTTACCTCTACAAAAAGAGGCAAGGGGGAACAATGCTAATGTAAACCATTAGCTCTCTGTGGTGTTGTAGAGATCAAACAGAGAAAAGGTTCTCAAGCCTGGTTATGAGTGGATTGTATACTATCTAGTTATTAATGGTCTTGAGGACTTTAACACGAGCTGCTCCCAACAGCTGACGAATGGAGGTTGTGTACTCTCCATGTGGGACCCCTGCCAGCCTGGATATGTGCTTTCCCAGGCTGGGTTGACTCTGTAGGGCTGAGGCTATGCAAATGGACTAGATCTGGGAAAGAAGGGCCCTTCTCCAGCGGCTCCAGGAGTCGGGGCACCCAACAACTGATCCTCTACTAGCAACTCTCCTGCTATCCATAACTTGGAGGGATTCTCTTTCAACCTTTGCTCTCCTACCTCGGGGACTCGGGGGAATGAACACACAACCAAACTCAAGAACAAAGGGTGAGCACCATGTGTCAAAGAGTAAGAAGTCTTACAGATGCTTAATAGAGAGACTTGATCAGGACAATTGGAAACAAAATGACAGTCATTTGGCTAGCCTGGTTGTGCTTGCTTTTCCTGTGATATCAGTACTAGCAAACAATTGAAAAGAGAGAACTAGTCATGTCTCATTGGCTATGATCTGACTTCTGATCCACAGAGAGTCTCCAAGAGAAGCAGGAAACCTTCAGGTGTGTGCTCTACCAAACCTGTTTGGCCTGCTGGGTATGTTCCACAATCTCCCATTAGTTTTCTGACCCCCCGAACCATCCCACTATCTTTCATTATCTGACTACATTTAACTAGCATCCAAACAGACAAGGCAGCCTGTAGGGTAAATATGGCCATAGGCATAGCTGAAAATGTACAGAAAGAAACAAAGGAGAACCTCTGGTTTTGCCAAACCCTTCTGTTGGAAAAAAGGCTTACTCTGAGATGTATTTAGGACAAGTAGATTTTAAAGCAAAATGCTTCAATAGTCAGGGATTTAGGAAAATTCTGGAATTGTATGGTGAAGCCACACACAAATATATGACTTGGTAGAGAGATTGTGTCCTTTGAATGGTTACAGATGGAAAAGCATTGGCAATGATAAAAGGCGATGCTCATAAAGTTGGCTAATATAATGCCTAATATGCAGGCTAAAGGAGTAATGGGGATGCACCCTCCCTCTGTACTCGTGACTACTCCACTGAATAAGCTCAAAGCACAGAAGGCAGGCCCAGGAGAGCCTCTCTCACTCTACTGCAGCCAGTGAGCAAGCCCGAGAAGGCCCCAGGTGTGACCCCTGTTCCCCTGCGAGCAGTCGGGAGACCAGGCAATCTATCATGGTGCTCCTGCTGTCAGCCCTGGTGCTGCGCCGCTGCTGTCTGTCACCCTGGTGGATGAGACCTGCTTAAGGGCAATCATGTCAATCTCTCTGTGACCACTCAGTCTAAGGTAGCTGGATGATCGTGACAGGCCTGGCAAAGTCCGGCACAAGGTACTGAAAGCAGGAGTCAGAGCTTTCTTATTGAGACACAACGCAGTCTCTGGTTTTTCTTGCTTTTTCATTTTATTGTCATGAAACAGGCTAAGGCATGTAGAATTTAGCTTCAAAGCTGGTCATCTCGGATGAATCTGTTACCCTCTGAGTTTCTTCCACAGTAAAAATAGCGATTTTTCGCTAGGATACCTGTTAATAGAAAGAGACATCGTTACTGGTGGCTCAATTCATATAGTTCAGAAATCGAGCTGTTGTTAAACAGGCATGCACTATGATGGCTAATCTGATGCGAGGCAGAAAACAGACTAAGCCTCACATGAAAAAGACTGTGCCTTCTTGTTCTTAGAGATGACCTTGCAATGAGTGTCATTACTAATTACAGGTTCCTAGGAATAACAGCTTTATGTGCTATTTTCTCACATAATTAGAACTTCTCTAATTTGACAAACAGTTCCCCAAAATACAGTACGACTTGCTCCTCCCCAGATTTCCTTAGTCTAGTTTCTAAGAATGGAAACTTAAGTTTAAATCAGATGAATCCAGCCCAAGTGAAGGCTGAAAGATAATCTTCACAGAATGTGACTATTTTGAAGTTCTTTATTGGAAATCAATATTGTTGACTTCCAGAGAGAATTTTCCAAATCCTGGGGGCTTCAAGCCCATGCTGGGTGATTAAAGAAGAGAGGCTGTGCTGGTTGAAGACTGTAGGGAAAGTAAGAGTGCCATTGACATTTAGACATCTGTCCATCCGTCTGCCCCCACTCCCCAGTCGGCAGGCATCCTCAGCTCATTTCTCATGTTAAAATGCACTTTTGACGTCATATGTATTCCTGATTCCTTATGAAACGTCCTGGTCTTTCTTGGATGTTGCTGGACACTTCACTATGAAACACAGCATTAGAGGTGGAGCAGATGTTCTAACTTGTCCTTATGTATCATAAATAAAAAATTGTGCCTGGAGGTGCATGCCTGTAATCTCAGGTGAACAGAGAAGGACGATCGTAAGTTCAAGTCTAACTTTGCCTTCAGAGTGAGACCCTGTTTAAAAAAAAAAAAATCAAGGGCTAAAAATATAACTTGGAGGAATAGTATTTGCCTAGAGTGTGGAAGTGTCTGGGTTTAATACTCACCTCTACTCAAAAGATACTGGTTACAGTGAAACTCTATAAAATTATTAAGAAAAAAGTGTTTTCCCAAGAAAATATAACTTCTGTTTGCCTTTTTACCACCACTTTGTTCTTTCTAATTTTAGAAGAATTAACTTAAAATTCTCTTGCACATAGCTGTCTGGGTACAAATAGGACTTAAATCTCTAAAGTACACAGAAGACAAAGAAAGGAAATAGACATAAAAGACTAATCCGTGAGCTATAAACCTGTCTGTGATGACTGCTACCTGTTCTTGGTTATTTGTTTCATTAGTTTCATAGTGCGATGTCAACACCCACCATTCTTCACTGATCTAAGATCAGTCATGTTCTTCATACTGAATGTCAGCAGCACAAACCTTTTGTACTACCAACTCTTAAACTTGCGGTAGTAGTGACGGTGGTGTGCACATGAGGATTTGTGTGGGACGTGTACAGGTGCCTGTGTATTGGGTGTATGTTCACGTGAGTGTCTACAGAGGTTGATGTCAGTTGTCTTCTTCTCTTTCTCAGTTGCCATCTACTTTTAAAATATTTGTCTTTTAATGGCCTGGAGTGCATGGATTAGGCTAGACTGGCAAACAAGTCCCCAGATTCCTTCTACCCAGCCCCATAGCTGAGAATACAGATGTATACATCTGTACATTACCTTTTTATATGGACACTGGGGAACAGACTCAGGTCCTCATGCTTGTATGGCAAGCACTTTATCAAGCCACCTCCTCATTCCTTAACCTTTGTCCTTAAATAAGAATTAAAAATAACTTGTAGAGACTTTTAAGGGTAGTATAGATGTGCCTGTGTTGGGTAGTCAGAGGCAAACTTGAAAATAACTAGGGTCCAAGGAGTTCTCAGAGTTGGAAGAGGGACAGGGTGACATCATTTGGGACCTGGCTCTTTTCTTGCTGTGTTGCCATGGACAGTTTTATTGTGGGTCATTCTTTTCTTCATGCTTAACTTGGCTTCCCTGACCCTCCACGCCCCTCATTCCCAGTTTCTGGTTTTCAGTATTGGTCTAGTGCCTGGAAATATTGAGCTTGTGTGAAACCTCACTTAGACCTTTCATTTTTCCCAGCTATTGGCACAGAGCTGTTCCCTTTATTGTATTCTGTAGTGCCTAGAGTTGTGTTAACATCGGCAGCAATGCCAGAGCCTTGGTGGTCTATGGGCTGGACTTGTTACATTCTGCCTCCCTTAACCGGGCCTGTCTGCCCATGCCACAGATGCATGGGAAACCCCACAAGGGACTTAAACCTAGCTGAGTCAAGCAAACCCTCCAAATTCTGGAGGGACAATCCAAAGGACATTAATTGTTTTTTCTCCACTACCAGGACAGCATGTGTTTTTATAAAAAGAAATGAATAGGGCTGCCAAATATCACCAAGCATGCAGTCCCTCTTAAGAGCAGACTCATGACAGGCACACCACTGTCCACACGGTTGCACCCGCTCTGTACACTTGCTCGACATCCAGGCTCCTATGCCTCTGCTCTCCACCTTTCTCCATGCTGAATTTCCACTCTAGATGCAAACAGATGGAAAACAGTGTTCCTGGAACGTGGGCCCAGGCTGCATTCTGAGCCACACTCACACATCTTCTCTGGTTGGCATTAATGAAGACCTTTCTGGGGCCTGCCCTGTTTCTTCGGGCCTGGAAGCTATAGGCAGCCTGGCAAGAGAGGGCTGTTTGATGAATGCAGGAGACTGTGGCTAGGTGTCAGTGCTTGGAAAATGAGGCAAGGACGTGAGTTATTAATATTGTCAATGATCTCTTGATGGGAAAACAGATACTGCACTCACTGTCAGATTTAAATAGACATTGAGTGCATTAACGACAAAAGGGCAGACTTCAAACAAAGGGGCTATGTGCTGAGAAGCCGACTTGGTCTCTGGGCTGGCACTAACCTGATCTGAAAAGACACTGTCAGGGCTGGAGACAGGCCCAGGATTGTGCGTGGTGACAGAAAACAGAGATCCTGACAGAGATACCAGCGCCATATTATGCCAAGGACACTGGAGAACTGTCTGGGATTCTAACGCAAGCTGACATCACTCCCTAGCATGTGGGTCTTCTATGCTCTTGAAGTACCAGAATGTCTTTTCACCCATCATTCCAAAACTTGGCATGCCCATGAAGTTCATGGCAGCCTTGGTCTATGGGAATCATGGGGTCAGGGCCTACAGATAACCTAAGTCAATCTCACCCTGGGAGTATTATCAGTAGGGTACGACTCTTCCCTACTGATAGCTGGGTGACTTAAGGGCCAATGTGTTAGGAGTTTAATTTGTCATTAAACTATTGTGGGCTAGTGCTACTCTAGGAAGACTTGGGGGTGGCTGGGACCCCCCCCAAAAAAAACAAAACCCTAGCTGCTGGTACTAGCCTGGGGACAAGGATGCTCAGGCTACAGACTGGTAAAATAAGCTGACATTTTTATATCAGAGTCATATACAGATGTTTAAAGTAAGCTAGCCTTGCCTTTCGTGCATTCCCTATCAGAGCTCACAGTGGCAATGTGACTTTTGTAGTTAACAGATATTAAGAAAGAAAGAAAAAAAAAAAGGAACAGCCTGGTACAAGCCCTTGTGTGGCCAGATGACTTTGAGGACTTTTATTATCATGAAGTCATTTGTCAAGTCATGGAGATGTTATGGGTAGCTCCTGTCCCCACTCCAACCCCCTTCCTCAACTACAGCAACTGCCCGAGGTTTTGAAGGCTGCAGAAGGGGCCATTTGTTTGCACTTGGTATTTTCATAGGGAGGTTCTCTGGGGCTGGAATTTGGGACGCAGTGGTGACGGGGGCTCTGTAGGCCACGGCCTCTGACACATCTGCAATGGATTCTCTTGTTTGTATCTCCTCAAACTCTATGGTTACAGAAATGGAGGGAGACAACATATTTAATGGCATGCAGAGTGTTTTTTAATTAAAACATGAGGCTTTGGCCATAGTAAGTGAGGCAGGCTGGCCATGCATCAGGCCAACGTGCAGATGTCGGTGAGGGGGTTTCTTTTGGGGGCTCTGAAAAATGACAGTGCCCTGTCCCCAGGGAAATCCTCTCCTGCCAGATGAGACTCCTAATTTTTCTTAAGTAGCCAGTTTTCCCATTTCCATAAGCTCTTAGAGCTATAATTATGAAAAAAATGTGTGGGGAAAAATCTGTTTTAAAGAGGTCCTTTATCTTTTCAATGTTCCCACCCTTTGCAATGGATGCTCTGATTATGCAGGTTAAGTTATGACCTGTGGCTGCCTAGTGGGTGAGAATGATTCTCCTTTCTTGGATGCACACTGTGGTGGCCGGGACCATTCTAAAGACATAGCCACGGGGTGGGGCGATCCTTGCTGTCCAGGAAAAGGGGGCCTGGCATACCCTGAAACAAGTCCAGTACAGATTCTATCCTGGCTTCCCATTCTTACTACCTGTCCTTAATGACTACTGACCCTACACTGGTCCCTTGCCCTCCCTGTTTTCCCCATTTGTAAATGAAGGCAAAGATAATCATGGTAGGTCCTCTTGAACTGTGAAATAGACAGTTTGGTATTTTTAAATGTTTCTTTTATGAAGTGGAAGTATTGGCATTGGGTCCATGTATCCTATGAAGAAAGAATGGTCAATTCTTTATTCTTTGTGCAATGTGACCAATTGCACAAAGTTAGGTCTTAAAATCCATCTACTCATATCCCTATAATATAGCACAGAGTCAGGGTACTGTTTATGAGTCCAAACTCTTCATGGAGTCTCATGACTTTTTTCTCTAGAGGGAAAACTAAGTCCTTTCTCCACAGCCAGCCATATTTGTCTTCCTTCTCCCTCTGAGTTCCTTCTAGCTTTGAGGTCAAATAAGCTTTCCACTTGACCCTGAAGACAGTAGTAAAGGAAATGGTGAAACTTCCTTCCCAAACTAGTAGGGCATGACTTGAGGCAGGTGTCTTGGCTTATAATCAGCATGGTCAGTTGAGAGTGCTACTCTGGTTGCCATGACACCTGTTGACTCCCACAATATTGCTCTGGCTCTGTTCGCCAGAGGATGCACAACATATTG